GGTCATTCTCCTGGGGGGGGGTTCTCACTTTCATCCTCCCTCTTCTCTCTCTATGTCTCTCTCTGGCAAGCACACATGCCTTGTAGCAAATTTCGAAAAACAAAATAAACAAATATGTATACATTGTGGAATAGCTAAACTGAGCTAATCAACATATGTATTACCTCACATATGTATTTCTATGGTGAGAACACTGGCATCTACTCTCTTAGCAATTTTCAAGAAAACAATACATTGTTAACTAGAACCACCATACTGTACAAGAGATCTCTTGAACTTGTTCCTCTTACCTAATTGAAATTTTGTATCCTTTGACCAACATTACCCTTTTCCTGCGTCTCACAAAGGCCCTAGTAACCACCATTCTACTCTCAACATCTGTCATTTGAACTTTTTTAGATTGCACATATAAGTGAAATTACATGGCGTTGTTTTATTTCACTTACTATAAAGTTCTCTACGTTCATCCATGCTGTCACAAAGGACAGGATTTTCTTTGCTTTAAAGGCTGAATAATATTTCATTGTATATATATGTACCACTTTTTTTTTTTTATCCATTCACCCACTTATTATTTTTTGTGTGTATGGAGAGGTTTTTTTTTGTTTGTTTTTGTTTTTGCTATAGGGCACGTGCACTCGCCAGACAAACAGAGAGACAGAAAGCGAGAAATCACCCCCCAGGCGGGATGGCCACGCCGCAGTCCCTTCTCCTCCATTCTCCTCTCGAGATCTTGGGCATGCACGCACACGCGCCCAGCATGAGTTTTAAGCCACCGGGTCCAGGATGCGAACCACGGTCGACTACATGGGAGTCCAGCGACACAGCCATTACGCTAACTGCTGGTCCCACCATTCACCCACTTAGAATGTTGATTTCATATCTTGGCTATTATGAATAATGAAAGTGCTGATTTCAATGTCTTTGGGTATATACCCAGAAATGGGATTGCTCAATCATATGAAAGTTACATTTTAATTTAAAAAATTATTTATTTTATTTAAATATCATTATTATTAATAATATTATTTTAATTTGACCAAGGAGAGACAGAGAGAGAAGGGGAAAGTAAGAAAGCAAGCCGCCAGGCCCAGGACCCAAACTATGGTTGACCCAGAATTTACTTTCATAAAATTATTTACTTTAAAGGCCATCCGGTGATACAGTGGTTGAGGTGCTGGACTCCCACATAGCCAACCGCAGTTCCAGTCCCAGACCCAGAGGCTTGAAACTCACACTGGATGCATGTGCGTGCATGCCCCAAATTCTGAGAGGAGAATGAAAAGGAAGGGATTGCAGCATGGCCATCCCCCAGGAATGATTTCTCACTTTCTCTCTCTCTGTATCCCTGGCAAGTGCATACACCCTTAAAGCAAAAATCTCTCTAAAAAAAATGATTTACCTTAGTAAAGTTATATTACATGCTGTGTTAACATTGCACAATACCTTGGGAATAGTTTGTAAAGCACTGACACAATTATCAATGAAAAATTAGAATTATTCTACCATAACATGTCATTTCACTGTTTTCTTTTTGTAATAAAATTAAAGGAAATTTGCTGACCTAAAACAAATTCTGCTTATAACTGGTATGTATAGTACAGCCATAGTTGCATGGGTAAAATAATTATAGTTATTAATTCAGCTGATCACTAATCTACTATTTTTAGTGTGCTTTTCACCCAAGTACAAATTCAAGAATGCTTATTGAGTTCTAGGAGTAAATAATAAGTGTTGCAAATTTATTATTTTTCTGACTAGTGGAAAATGAAAACCACTGTGACTTTGTTAGACTCCGGGAAATGCTTCTTTGTACCAATATGGAAGACCTGAAAGAAAAAACCCACACTCAGCACTACGAACGTTACAGGCGCAGTAAGCTGCAGGCTATGGGCTTTTCGGATGTCGGCCCAGACAACCAGCCAGTTAGGTGAGTAGAGATATTGCTAGCACCACCAAGGAGTCGTTTAGAAATCCCCTACCATCACAAGGCACAACCCTTTAGGAGGAGGATGATTATACTTTTCCCGTCCTGGACAGTCCTGAGTTTTAGGATTTTTAATTATCATCTTCAGATCAAGTGGAGGTAGTAGGCGCAGCATAATGCAAGGGCCCATTTAAATGCTGAACTATGGGGGACCAACAATTGGCGTAATGGCTATGTCGCTGGACTCCCATGTAATCGACTGTGGTTCAAGTCCTGGACCCAGTGGCTTAAACTTACATCAGGTGAGAGACCAGCAGTTAGCGTAATGGCTGTGTTGCTTAACTCCAATGTAGTTGATCATGGTTTGAGTCCCGGACCCGGTAGCTTAAACTCACGCTGGGCATGTGTTTGTGTGTGCCCAAGATCCCGAGAGGAGAATGGAGGAGAAGGGATTGTGGTGTGGCCATCCCCCCTAGGGGGTAATTTCTTGCTCTCTGTCTCTCTGTCTCTCTGTTTCTGTCTTTTCTGGCAAATGTGTGTGCCCTATAACAAAAGCCTCTCAAAAAAAAAATCATGCTGAACTATGTGGGGCAGGTAGGTGGTATGGTAGTTAAGGCACTGGACTCCCACATGGCCAATCACAGTTAAGTCCTGCACCTGGTAGTTTTCTCTCTTCACTTTCCCTCTCTCAATCTGTCTCTCTCTGGCCAAATTACTGGACTCCCACATGGCCAATCACAGTTAAGTCCTGCACCTGGTAGTTTTCTCTCTCACTTTCCCTCTCTCAATCTGTCTCTCTCTGGCCAAATTAGAAATAATAACAATGATGAATAAAATTAAATAAGATAATTCCTTTTTAAAATTGCTCCAATATGGGAACCAGCAGTTAGCGTAATGGCTGTGTCGCTGGACTCCCACATAGTCGACTGCAGTTCATGTCCCGGACCCGGTGACTTTAAAAAGCTCACACCAGGCGCATGTGCGTGTGTGCCCAAGATCCCGAGAGGAAAATGGAGGAGAAGGGATTGCAGCGTGACCATCCCCCCTGGGGGGTGATTTCTCGCTTTCTGTCTCTATGTTTCTCTCTGTCTGTCTGGCGAGCGCACGTGCCCTATAGCGAAAACCTCTCAAAAAAAAAAAATTGCTCCAATATGTGTATATTCTGAAGTGTATATACTCTATGTATATATCATACTAAAAATATTAGTTTAATTTTTGTATTTATATAAAACAGAGGTCCAGGAATGAGATTGGCAGGTTAGAGAAGATTGACAAAAAGTAGCAAAACATATTGAGAAGAATTTAATGGGGGGAAAATGGTTGAAAAGCAACAGTGCAATGTTTTCAAAGTCAAGTGAACAAAAGCTTAAAAGAAAGTTGTACTGCAAAGTATGGCAATTTAGTAAAATCCAGTTATACCAGTCACGGTTCTTAGGAGACAACCAAAATTGAACTCTTTTAAATGAACATTTTGAGGGGCCAGCAGGTGGTGTGGTTGTTAAGGCACTGGACTCCCACATAGTCAACCATGGTTCGAATCCTGGACTTGGAGACTTGCTTTTTCACTTTCCCTTTCTCTCTGTCTCTTTCTAGTTAAATAATAATAATAATAAATTTAGGAAATGACCATTTTGAGAGAGGCCTAGATTTATTTTAATTATTTTGAAAATAGTTATGGATTAAAAGTTTGCCCCAGGACCAGCAGTTAGCATAATGAACTCCCATGTAGTCGACCGAGGTTAGAGTCCCGGACCCAGTGGCTTAAACTCACTCCAGGCGCTTGTGTGTGCGTGCCCAAGATCCCGAGAGGAAAATGGAGGAGCAGGGATTGTGGTGTGGCCATCTCCCCGGGGGATAATTTCTCGCTTTCTGTCTCTTTGTCTCTCTTTCTTTCTGGCGAGTGCACATGCCCTATAGCAAAAACCTCTCCAAAAAAAAAAAAAATTGCCCTAATTTTTTTTTCTTCTTTCTTTTTTTTTTTGGAGAGGTTTTTGCTATAGGGCGTGTGCGCTCGCCAGAAAGACAGAGAGAGACAGAAAGCAAGAAATCACCCCCCAGGGGCATGGCCACGCCACAATCCCTGCTCCTCCATTCTCCTCTCGGGATCTTGCACATACGCCTGGCATGAGTTTAAGTCTCTAGATCTGGGACTCCAACCATGGTTGACTACATGGGAGTCCAATGACATAGCCATTATGCCAACTGCTGGTCCCTGTATATACTGTTATATTAAATATTGTGCATTGCTCTTTACAACTCATGATGTAGAAACTTCCATTTTGTGTTACTATACATGTGGAAATATTAGTAAATGTCCTTATGTGGGACCTAACATACTCTATACATCCATAAACAAATACACCCATTATATATAATATCTGTGTATATCTATAAGTGTGTATAGTATCTGTATATGTGTATATTGCATATATATTATCATTTTAATATGAGAATAATGACTATTTTTCTTTTAGTTTTCAAGAGATCTATGAAGCTAAAAGACAAGCATTCCATGCTCAATGTCAGAGGGAAGAGGAAGAGTTAAAACAGAAGTTTATGCAGAGAGTTAAGGAGAAAGAAATAACATTTAAAGAATCTGAAAAAGAGGTAAATACTACCAGCTTGATCAAATTTGTGTTCATTTTTAGGTGTTTGGAAGTTTTTAATCTCAAGAGTTTAGCTTATGATTTTTGAGGATATTTGGCTATTCCTTAAAAAGTAGCTGTTGGGGTCAGCAGGTGGTGTGGTGATTAAGGGACTGGATTTTCATATTGCTGAACTGTGGTTCAAATCCTAGACCTGGTGGCTTGCTCCCCCCCCCCCAATCTTTCTGGTGAGTGCATGTGCCCTATAGCAAATTTAAAAAATAATATTAAGTGCCAGCAGATGGTATAGTGCTTAAGGAGCTGGATTCATACATGGCCAATTGCAGTTTCAACCCATTGTCTTGAAACTTACGCTGCACATCTGCGTGTATGCCCAAAATCCTGAGAGGAAAATGGAGAAGGGATTGTGGCATGGCCCTTTTCCCTGGAGGGTGATTTCTCACTTTCTGTCTCTCCAGCAAGTGCACATACCCTATAGAAAAACAAAACAAAAACAAAAAACTCTCTAAAAATAAATATTTAAAAAGTAGCTATTTAACATGCAAAGTTTCAATATAGCTTTTCCAAAATTATTTTTTTCTAGAGCACTGAGAGTGCTTTCCAACACTACAACATTAGAAGATTTCTTTCACTTTTATAAATAAGTAGGTAAATGTTGATTAATGCAAATATTTTTTTTCTATTATTATTTTTTTGAGAAGTTTTTGCTATAGGGTGCATGCGCTCGCCAGAAAGACAGAGAGAGACAGAGAGATAGAAAGCGAGAAATCACCCCCCAGGGAGGATGGCCACGCTGCAATCCCTTCTCCTCTCAGGATCTTGGGCATGCACGCACACACACCCGGCGTGAGTTTAAGCCACCGGGTCTGGGACTCTAACTGCGGTTGGCTACATGGGAGTTTAGCAACATAGCCATTACGCTAACTGCTGGTCCCTGTTTTTTTAAAGGTTTTTGCAATAGGACACATGTGCTTACCAGAGAGGAGAGAGACGGTAAGAGAAAAGTGAGAAATCATCTCTCAGGGGGGATGGCCACGCCATAAATCCTTCTCCTCTCAGGATTTTGGGCATGCATCCTCACATGCTGGGTGTGATTCTCAAACCTCCAGGTCCAGGACCTAACCACTGTCAGTCATATGGGAATCCAGCACCTTAACCACCATGTCACCTGCTAGCCCCTGATTAGTGCAAATCTTGATTAAAGAACTTTTAGTTGAATTGTGTGGCTCCTTGTTATTTTCATCTCATCTATTTTCAAGAACATGTAAAGTCAGGCTACTCACATAGTTTTGATTATTTACGAAAAATAAACTTTTGGTGAAACAATACATTATAATCAGAACCAAAATTTCTTTCTGTCAAGCACAGGTGGTTTCAGTGTAAAACATTTCCTTTTTAGTAAGCACTTGAGTTTTTTCCTATAGAACAAGTTAGTGATTAGGTGCTATAGACCAGATGTCTCAGTCAGAAACAGTTTATTAGTAATAAAAATCCCATTAGCTCGGGTATAAAGGGAAAATTATGGACTTAAGAGTATGCCGTAGCATTCAAGAACAGGAAGCCTAGCTGAATCTCATAAAGACTTGAACTCCAACTAGGAAATGACCGAAGGGACCAGCAGATGGTGTAATGGTTATATTGCTGGACTCCCATGTAGTCAATGATGGTTCGAGTCCCGGACCTGGTGATTTAAAACTCACACAAGGTACATGTGCTTGTGTGCCCCATGTCCTGAGCGAATGGAGGAAAGGGGATTGTGGTGTGGCCATCCTCTCCTGAGGGATGATTTCCTCGCTTTCTGTGTTTCTTGTGAGTGCACACACACACATTGTGACAAAAATCTCTCATAAGGAAATAAAAGAAAGTGACCAGAAATCAAAGCAACCATTTAAGTTTTTTATTTGACCTTATCTTATTCCCCTTAGTTATGATCCTTATCTCTGTACATCTGCTCTCTTTTAAAAATTGTTTTCTCCTTGAAAATCAGTTTTTCTTCCACTTCTCGATATATCCTCCCAGGAAGAATCAACCATACCCTTAAATCGGTATGGGAAGGGGTGAGAAGCAGGTGTTCTATCAACTAACACCTATAGGAAGGAGCAAATGCATTTTTGCCAGAAGGAAAATAATCAAAATGCCAACGGCTCTACAGAAAACAGGTGCATGAAAACTGGCTCATCTGGCTGACTCAGAACAGGAATAACTTGATCATTTTAACGTCATAGTAGACAGGAATAGACAGCAATTCTAATCACCTGGTAAGAGAACCAGAAGCACACAGAGATAAAGTGAAATTCCTAGGCACAGGTACCGCAAGAATCTGCCAGAGTTCAAACCTAAGGCTTGAAAATTTTCAAATAGTTGAAAATTGATTTTTTATAAAAATCTATTTCATTTCATTTATTATTATTTCCAAAAAATTTAGGGAGATTTTTGCTATAGGGCATGGGAGCTCACCAGAGAGACAGAGAGAGAGAGACAGAAAGCATCCACCAAGGGGGATGGCCATGCTGCAATCCCTTCTCCTCCAGTCTCCTCTCAAGATTTTGGGCAAACACACACACACACACACACACACACACACACACACACGTGTGCACGTATGTGTGCACGCCTGGCCCAAGTTTGAAGCTGCCAGGTCTGAGACTCAAACTGCAGTCGACCACGTGGGAGTCCAGGGACGTAACCATTACACTATGTGGTGGTCCCACCAACATTTTTAAACAAAATCATGTCAAAAACCTAGGCCTGGGACCAGCAGTTAGCATAATGGTTATGTTGCTGGACTCCCACATAGTCGAGCACAGTTCGAGTCCCGGACCCGGTGGCTTAAAACTCATGCCGGGTGTGTGTGCGTGCATGCCCAAGATCCTGAGAAGAGAATGGAGGAGAAGGGATTGCGGCGTGGCCATCCCCCCTGGGGGGGATGATTTCTCGCTTTCTGTCTCTCTGTCTCTCTCTGTCTCTCTCACGAGCACACGTGCCCTATAGCAAAAACCTCTCTGTAAAACAAACAAACAAACAAAACCCCTAGGCCTCTCTCTAATAAAATCCAAGGTGCCTTCTTAATTAGCTATTTAAGCTAACTAAGCCTCACAGATAAATAAGACCTCCTGAGGAACAAGAGTAACAGGATCCTTGAAATATTTTAGTTGGTCTACATTTGAGTTAATTTTACTTAACAATGAAATTATAAGACTTTCTTTCAAAAGGTCTTACCCAATAAAAATGTCAACTACGGCTCCACATTCCATGTTATGTCTTAATGTATATATTTTAGTAAATTTAGACTTACGAAATTTTATTGAAAGAGACTTTGTGAAGAAAAAGTAGAGTGAGAAGCTATATCTCATTCAGAAAAAGAAAACAATGATTTAAAATTGTGTTTTGTATGCAGCTGTGAGTTTTATTACATTTGTTTTAATAGGAACACATTTTAAATTATAATTTTAAAATTCCATATTTGAGTGTTTAATCATGAATAGTTGAGATTGTTATTAAAATCATGCTCTATTTTGATGACTAGGGTATATTTAATAAGGAGGGGGGAAAAAAGCATGTGTTTTCAGATGTCTTGCTATTTGTCTTTATAGCAGGTAACTCTGATATTAGACTCAGTGTCTTGAGTCAACTGCACATTTCTTTCACAGCTACAGGATAAGTTTGAGCAACTTAAAAAGGTCCAGCAAGAGGAGACAATAAAGCTTGAAGAAGAGAGAAGACAATTAGAAGAAGAACTAATAGAGTTTTATAAGCTGAAGACTGCCTCTGAAACGTTACAGGCACAGGTGTGCACCAACGTGAGAAAGGACAAAGATCGTAAGAAGTAGTTCTTTCTTAACGTTCGCTGAGCCCCATCATTCTCGATCACACCTTCCTATGGGGTTGTCTTTAGAGCATTTAACTCTGATATTACTTCTAATTTTTCTTTCTTTTTTTTTTTTTGGACAGGTTTTTGCTATAGGGCGTATGCACTTGCCAGAAAGACAGAGAGAGGCAGAGAGACAGAGAGGGAGAAATAAATACATAGCATAGTATAAAGCGTTGGTTAGGTGGGGAAATTCTTTTTATTATAACCCTGGCTGTGGCTCAAGTAGTGACTTTTAATTTCATATATAAATAGAAGCTAGAGAATTTGTTGGAGACTCCTGGGCAAAAAAATACGTTAGAAAAGGCAAATGATCAAGTCCATTTTCCTTACCAAATTCTCCTAATAATGATTTCTTAATAATTTTTATTATAAAAAGGCATTGAATTTTTATTAGAAACCTTATCTTATTCCCCTTAGTTATGATCCTTATCTCTGTACATCTGCTCTCTTTTAAAAATTGTTTTCTCCTTGAAAATCAGTTTTTCTTCCACTTCTCGATATATCCTCCCAGGAAGAATCAACCATACCCTTAAATCGGTATGGGAAGGGGTGAGAAGCAGGTGTTCTATCAACTAACACCTATAGGAAGGAGCAAATGCATTTTTGCCAGAAGGAAAATAATCAAAATGCCAACGGCTCTACAGAAAACAGGTGCATGAAAACTGGCTCATCTGGCTGACTCAGAACAGGAATAACTTGATCATTTTAACGTCATAGTAGACAGGAATAGACAGCAATTCTAATCACCTGGTAAGAGAACCAGAAGCACACAGAGATAAAGTGAAATTCCTAGGCACAGGTACCGCAAGAATCTGCCAGAGTTCAAACCTAAGGCTTGAAAATTTTCAAATAGTTGAAAATTGATTTTTTATAAAAATCTATTTCATTTCATTTATTATTATTTCCAAAAAATTTAGGGAGATTTTTGCTATAGGGCATGGGAGCTCACCAGAGAGACAGAGAGAGAGAGACAGAAAGCATCCACCAAGGGGGATGGCCATGCTGCAATCCCTTCTCCTCCAGTCTCCTCTCAAGATTTTGGGCAAACACACACACACACACACACACACACACACACACACACACGTGTGCACGTATGTGTGCACGCCTGGCCCAAGTTTGAAGCTGCCAGGTCTGAGACTCAAACTGCAGTCGACCACGTGGGAGTCCAGGGACGTAACCATTACACTATGTGGTGGTCCCACCAACATTTTTAAACAAAATCATGTCAAAAACCTAGGCCTGGGACCAGCAGTTAGCATAATGGTTATGTTGCTGGACTCCCACATAGTCGAGCACAGTTCGAGTCCCGGACCCGGTGGCTTAAAACTCATGCCGGGTGTGTGTGCGTGCATGCCCAAGATCCTGAGAAGAGAATGGAGGAGAAGGGATTGCGGCGTGGCCATCCCCCCTGGGGGGGATGATTTCTCGCTTTCTGTCTCTCTGTCTCTCTCTGTCTCTCTCACGAGCACACGTGCCCTATAGCAAAAACCTCTCTGTAAAACAAACAAACAAACAAAACCCCTAGGCCTCTCTCTAATAAAATCCAAGGTGCCTTCTTAATTAGCTATTTAAGCTAACTAAGCCTCACAGATAAATAAGACCTCCTGAGGAACAAGAGTAACAGGATCCTTGAAATATTTTAGTTGGTCTACATTTGAGTTAATTTTACTTAACAATGAAATTATAAGACTTTCTTTCAAAAGGTCTTACCCAATAAAAATGTCAACTACGGCTCCACATTCCATGTTATGTCTTAATGTATATATTTTAGTAAATTTAGACTTACGAAATTTTATTGAAAGAGACTTTGTGAAGAAAAAGTAGAGTGAGAAGCTATATCTCATTCAGAAAAAGAAAACAATGATTTAAAATTGTGTTTTGTATGCAGCTGTGAGTTTTATTACATTTGTTTTAATAGGAACACATTTTAAATTATAATTTTAAAATTCCATATTTGAGTGTTTAATCATGAATAGTTGAGATTGTTATTAAAATCATGCTCTATTTTGATGACTAGGGTATATTTAATAAGGAGGGGGGAAAAAAGCATGTGTTTTCAGATGTCTTGCTATTTGTCTTTATAGCAGGTAACTCTGATATTAGTCTCAGTGTCTTGAGTCAACTGCACATTTCTTTCACAGCTACAGGATAAGTTTGAGCAACTTAAAAAGGTCCAGCAAGAGGAGACAATAAAGCTTGAAGAAGAGAGAAGACAATTAGAAGAAGAACTAATAGAGTTTTATAAGCTGAAGACTGCCTCTGAAACGTTACAGGCACAGGTGTGCACCAACGTGAGAAAGGACAAAGATCGTAAGAAGTAGTTCTTTCTTAACGTTCGCTGAGCCCCATCATTCTCGATCACACCTTCCTATGGGGTTGTCTTTAGAGCATTTAACTCTGATATTACTTCTAATTTTTCTTTCTTTTTTTTTTTTTGGACAGGTTTTTGCTATAGGGCGTATGCACTTGCCAGAAAGACAGAGAGAGGCAGAGAGACAGAGAGGGAGAAATAAATACATAGCATAGTATAAAGCGTTGGTTAGGTGGGGAAATTCTTTTTATTATAACCCTGGCTGTGGCTCAAGTAGTGACTTTTAATTTCATATATAAATAGAAGCTAGAGAATTTGTTGGAGACTCCTGGGCAAAAAAATACGTTAGAAAAGGCAAATGATCAAGTCCATTTTCCTTACCAAATTCTCCTAATAATGATTTCTTAATAATTTTTATTATAAAAAGGCATTGAATTTTTATTAGAATTGTTAAACTTTGATGTCAGAACTTATAAAACTGATATTAGAGTAAAAGATTTAGGACTGGCCCCACGGGCTAGTGGTTAAGGGAGCCAGATCCCATGCGGCCAGCCATGGTTCAAATCCTGGCCCTGGCAGGTTGGAATATACACTGGGCATATATGCATGCATGTTCAAAATACTGATAAGATGGAGAAAAGGAGAGAAAGGATTGTGACATGACCACACCCCATTGGGGGTGCTTTCTCCCTCTCTCTCTTTCTTTCTGGTGAGAACAATCCTCGGGCAATTAAAAAATAATAATAAAATAAAAGATTCAAAAGCTGGAGAGAGCCAGAGCACAGTGGCCAGCCATGAGTAATATTTATATGAAAACATTATGCCTTACAGATTTGGGGTATTTGTTAAAGTTACCAAAGTTATAGAAAATGAGATGGACTTTTTTACTTTAACAAAACTTTCTTCTGACGTATATCTTGAATTTAAAATGTTTGACTAAAACATTGAATATGGTTGACCTTCATCATGACTCATTCTATTGAAATTCTATCTTTATCTCAGTTTTCTCCAACTATATCTGGAAAGGTCACAGAGCCCTCCTCCTATTCCTAAAAGAGTAACAATTTTTTTTTATTGAAATTTTATCACTGCATCCATTTCAAATACACTTTTTAGGATATCAAAATATTATAACTTAACTTCGAAATATTTTGAAAATATATATTGCATCTGACTGCAATATATATTTACTTCATAAAAAAGTTTAATGTAAAAAATATGAGAGAGCCGACCCCATAGCCTACTGATGAAGGGAGCCAGATCCTGCGTAGCCAATGGAAATGTGAATTCCAATCCCCGAGGCTTAAAAAACATGCGGAGCAAATGTGCACGTGGGGTCAAAGTCACAACAGAATAGAGAAATGGAGAGATTGCAGCAGAATCATTTCTCATCACAGTGTGCTTTCTCCTTCTCTCTCTGTTTTCTCTAGCCAGGGCAAAATATATGAACAAAGGGGGGGAATCCACAATGATTTTTTTATGTGTTGTTAAATCATCCTATAGATTTTAGTGAGTGTGTGTGTTTGCTTTTTTGTAAAAAAGTAATCTACTTTCCAATGGAAGCTCCACAAGAACCAAGATCTTTGTTTTGTTTGCTTATGTTTCTATTCTTAGGCCTAAAACAATGCCTGATACACAGTAGAAATTATTCATTGACTAAAAAAACACAAAGATAGTGCATTAGCTATCTTATATGAATGGATAGTTTTATTTCGATAATTGACTTTCAGAAGCTAATTTATGTAACGTAATACTGCTTTTCAATATGCTTGTGAATTACTTTGCTGGGGGATTTTTTTATCTTCTCATTCTTTTATCTTAATCTAATGTTATTAAAATTGGAATCATCAATGTTACTTCATATATTAAAATCATAACATTTACCTTTTAAAAATTATCATGTTGCTGCATTTGAGATTAGGTAATAACAGGAAAAGTCATAGGTTTTTAGAGCACAGAAAGATTCAGGCTAAAAAGCAAAAACAAACAAACAAGAGCATATTTTTCTTTTCTTAATTAAAAAAGTGTCTATTTCTCATATAACTTTAAACTGTATGAATAAAATTCTTATTTTTCTTCCAGTTCTAGTTTTATGTAAAACTAAGTTTTTACATTTATGCAGCACACAATGTCTTAATAAATCAATTTACTTGTTGTCACTCATTCAATTACTGCCTCCTTTTGTGTTTCATTGATTTTTTTTTGTAGAGATATATTTTGTTTCTATTCTCATTTTTTTTGTGTATGCATTATATGAATATTTCTTTGGTTACTATGAGAATTACATACAGCATCCTTAAGTGAAAACAATCTAATTGAAGTTGATATGTGTCATATCACAAGTGTACTGCTACACTGCTCTACTCTGTTTGTTGTCAGTGTGACAAATTAATATATTTATTTATTGCATTATCTACTAACATAGAGTTCTAAAATTATTTTTCATGCATTTGCCTTTATATCCTATAGAAAATAAAAATTAGAGTTACAAACCAAAATTAAAATAATACTGATTTTATATGTGCACGTGTATTTATGTCTACCAGATAGCTTTCTATCTTCATATGGATTTGAGTTACTATCTAGAGTTCATTTATTTCAACCCAAAGAACTTAATATTTCTTGTACAACAAGTCTAGAGGTAATAGACCCTCTCAGCTGCTGTTGCTTCTCCTTCTCCTTCTTCTTTCTTCTTCTATTTTCTGTTAATCTGGAAAAGTCTTCATTTATCCCTCATGTTTGAAGGATGGTTTTGCCAGAAATAGAATTCTCGGTTGACAGTTTTTTCTCCCATCACTTTAAATATATCATCTACTGCCTCCCATCTACCAAGACTTTGATAGAGATATCAGCTGACAATATTATACAGAATTCCTTATATGTGATAAGTTACTCTTCTCTCAGTGCTCTCGAGATTGTCACTTGGTCTTTTGACAGTTTGACTGTGATGGTCCCAATGTGGGTCTCTTGGTGTTTATTATACCAAGAATTCATTAAGCTTCCTGGATTTGTAGATTCATATCTTCCCTCAAAATTGGAAATTTTTAGGTCAGTGTTTATTTTTTAAATTAAAATATTTTATTTAACTTTATTTATTATTATAATTATTCTTTTCCAGTTTGATCAGACAGCGAGAGAGAGAGAAAGTGAGAGAGCAAGCCACCAGATCCAGGACTTGAGCCACAGTTTGCCATATGGGAGTCCTTTAACCACCATGCCACCTGCTGGCCCTGGTCAGTGTTTTTTCAAATAACTTCTTTCTCTTTCCTTCTGGAATGTTAATTATACACGTATTGATCCAGTTGATGGTATCCAGTAAGTCTCTTAGTCTTTGTTCACTTTTCTTCTTTCTCCTCCTCAGATCTGTCCATTTCAAATGTCCTATCTTCAAGTTTAGTAAATGCTATGGCTTGGATATAGTTTGGTCCCATCAGCTAGCATAATGTCATCCCTGTAATGGACCAATGTGATATATTTTATTTCGTATAGCATTGAATGTGTTAGGATTAGTCAAGATGAGAGCATATACTTCAGAATCAAGAGTTATGGTAATGATCAGCGCCTAGATTAATTGATTCCAGGGTGAAAGACAAGGTAAGATTCAGGTTGAAAGTCAGGGGTAGAGGGTGAAAGTTAAGGTCTGGTAACGTTCAGGCTGCAGTTCAGCATCAGGATCAGTGTGAAGAAGAGAATGAAAACCAATGTCTGGGTCATTATGAAGATAATGTGTCCATCACAGTTAGGGTCAAAGTGAGGTTAAGGGTGAAGTTCAAGGTCAAGGTCAATCCAATGGTCAGGATCTATGTCAGAGAGAGTGCAAGGGCAGGGTTATAGCTGTAATAGTCCACCTTCTTTTTTTTTTTTTTTAACAAACTTATTTCTAATGTTAGTTCAGGTACTGCTGTCACAGCAATAGAAACGTTAATCTTCTTGGCAATTGTGCTTAATTTTTCCTCAGTAACAGTAATGGATTTGAGGTACTCACTACTTCAGTAATCTGATATTTTAAAATTATGGACCACCAGATCGTGATGACTTACATCATCATCTCTGAAAAATTGAAAATACTCCAACTATTGCTTCTTACAAATGTGCAACCAGACACTTGGGTGACTGGAAATGTGAGCACATGCAGTGCAGTTAACAAGTTTTTCTATACTTAAAAAAATGATTTACAACCTGTCAATTTCAACAACTTACGGAATGGTTGCAGTGGAGTTTTAATGTTGTGCTTTGTGTTTCCCATTCACTGTAAAAACCTCAACCATAAACCTGATGATGGTTCATCTTCTCCTAAGCACTTGACGAATGGTTAGCTAAACGGCTCCCAAGGCCAGATAGTGCTATGCTTAGGGAAAGTTAAATTTCATGAATTGAGTCAAAATGACCTCTAGCCACTTTTTTCAACCACACTGTGCAGAGCAATGGAGTTAATCTAATACTGCTTTCATATATTAACAGATTTTCCGTCCTTCTCCTCCACCCATGCACACTAGTCTGGGTCTTTCTGTGAAGGCGAGGGCTGTTGACTACCGTGCCGCCTGAGCAAGTCTTGCTTCTCCATGAACAGACTGGGATTTCCTCGGTGGTGCAGGGACAGCTCTGGCACCAACCACACCTCAGAGTTGGTTGTTGCTGCTTGTTTCCCTGGGAAGTCACACTCTTTTGCTGGGTCTGGGCCCTCCTGGAAGGATGGGGAGGGGCGTGGGAGAAAGTGAGCTCGTTTCCTTTCTAAACTGAACCACAATGCAGAAGCCCCAAAAACTCAAGTTGGAGATGGGGTTTAATAGACCCCAGGGACAGGCTCGTGGAGGATGGAAAGCCCGTTCGGCCTGCAACGTTTCCCGCTTTAGAGAGAACCCTGAGAGCGACCAGCGCGCGCGCCAAGTGCTGTATCTGATTGGTGTGCCGCCCTCGAGCCCCGCTCCACGCGCCCTCCCTCGGGCGGAGCTTTGCAGTGGAGACAGCGCCGCCAGCGAAACGCCTTCCTTTCGTTTCTCCTAAGCCACGAGCTTGGCCTGGCCCTGATTCCACACAGATCCTTAAAATAAGGAGGCTTAGGACCAGCAGTTGGGTAATGACTGTGTCGCTGGACTCCCATGTAGCCAACCGCAAACTCACACTGGGCGCTTGTGCGTGTGTGCCCAAGATCCCGAGAGGACAAGGGAGGAGAATGGATTGTGGCGTGGCCATCCCCCCTGGGGGTGATTTCACGCTTTCTGTCTCTCTGTCTCTCTCTGCCTTTCTGGCGAGCTCATGCGCCCTATAGCAAAAATCTCTCTAAAAATAAGTAAATAAATAATAAATAAATAAGGAGGTTTAAACTCTGGAGGTCTGAGAACAAGGGCCTCTAATCTGGAAAGTGACAGAAGGGTGAGGCAACGGGGAAGGCGGGCTTTTCTGCTTCCCAGGGCAGAGGCCTGGCCTGCGGCCCAGAGATGGTAGAGCCAAAGGTAAGGGGTTCTCGTCTGAAATAAAAGGAACATGCAGGATGGTGCCCAAGAGCCTTTCCAACTCCAAGTTACCGTGACACTCCGAGGAGGCCCGATTTTTTTTTTTTTTTAGAAGATCTATCAAGCTGGGGCTAAGGCCAGAGTGTTGAAAAGTGGAGGCATAGGGAAATGGAGTACCTTGGTTGGGGATCTGGGGCGGCCGCACCACATGCGGAGGTTCTGATCTGTAGACCTCTGTGAGTAATCTCTGCACGGTTTCCATGATCCTGGCACTGGCTGAGGCTAGGATGGGTGACAGGAGCAAGACTCTGTTAGGGGTGCGTGCGTTCTCTCCTTCTGTCTCTCCCATGGAAGAAATAAAAATGGAAAACAAACACACACACCAAGAAGTCGTGGCAGTGAATTTGGCGCAGAATGAGGGAGATCGTAGACTTTCAGCAACTGCCTCCCTGTCAACTGTGACAATTTCTGGAGGGCTTCGATCCACCGTCTTTTATTCTAACCCACCCCCAATGCCCATCCCCAGTGGTTCCTCCTTAGTCTCTGCCTGCCCATTCCCCCACCTGCCATTTTAGTACATCCAGTAGTTACTTAAAATGCTAACCTCTGCTCGGAGTAATTAAGTCCCCAAGATCAAAGCTAAGGAGGGCTTAAGGAAAAGGGATCAACTGCCTTTGATGATGAAGAAGATGATGAAGAAGAGCCAGAGAGTCCAGTAAAACCAATATCAGCATTTATTGAGGTGTCAAAAATATAGTAACAGCAGGAAGGGGCACAGTCTGGAGACAGGAGAGAGAGCCAGGATGGGAGAGATGAAGGCCTGGTCTCTGGGCTGGGGGAAGGCAGTGGGTGAGTCAGACGCTCACAAGGACTTCAGAAAGGCCCTGTACTTGGCCAGGAATGGGCTGGCCATAGTGGTCAGCTCCTGACGGAGTTCATTCAGAGCCCGGTCTTGCTCTTGCTGCTCCCCTGTCACCTGCTGCCCGTAGTAGTTGACGTAGAAGTTCACCCAATCATTCACCACGACCACCATGGCTTCTTCAGAGATAGGAGGTTCAGAAAAGACCTAGGGATGGGGGAGGGGTGCAGAGGGGAGGAGAAGGCGTGGGAGGGCGAGGTCAGTAGTGTGATTCAGGAATACCCAGGATAGTCCCACAAACTCCCACCTCCTCTTTCCTCTGATCTGTGTTCTCTAGCTGTTCCCAGCAACTCCACCATTACCCTCCCAGCTAGCTGCCAGTCATTCTTCTTTCTCTGCCCTCCTTCCAACCCTTAGCTCCTCAAGGCTTGTCTCTGAAACAGAGTCCTTGGGCTTACCTGCTGATCCAGGAGAACACTGAATTTCTTCATTCCTGTGGCAATGATGTCTTTATTGACCTGAAGAAGGGCCATCTGCCTGGTTAGAGAAAGAGGTAGAATTGAAGTATTACTTTTGCGTGTTCTCATGCCCTGCAGGACCGCCTCTTTTCCAAAACCTTTCAGATCTTGCTCTGGTCTGAGGTCACTTTAATCTCACGTAGGGCTCACCTTTCGGTGCAGCAGTGCCACGTACGTGTCACCCGCACTCTTTGGGGTATGTATGTCTCTCTGTGCCAAGCTAGATGAAAGCAAGGAATTAAGGGTCGGCCTAAGAGGGAAACGCCCTGCGTCTGTGTCCTGAGCGAGGGTGATAGATCAGTGTGGGGAGGAGAAGCAGGGAGAGGCTTCCCTGAACTTAGCAAGATAGTGAGGCCAAGAAAAACAGCTAAGGGAAGACACCTGGAAAACGCAAGAACCAAACTAGGGACATATCCTTGCTCTCTGCCCTGCATGTCCGTATCCAGCTCCAAAGGCTAAGGAAACTAACGTCGATGAGCCTGTTCCACGGGAAGCACTTTTACTACAATTAATGGCAGTTATTCCAACTCGTAGATGAACTGTCGGTAGCAGCTTACATTTGTTCATTTGGGCCAGGCATTACTTCAAGCAAATATTATTTAACCTTATAAAAAATCCTCCAGACACATTTTGCAAATGGGCCATTTGTAAGATACACGGGCTGGACAGGCTGTGCTCCATGAGAATACACACATTTGTCTTGTTCTGTGCTACATCACCAGGTACCCAATAAAGTGGGAATATTTTTTTCTTTTTTTAAAAAGTAAGTTTCCTAGGCCAGCAGGTGACATGGAACTTAAAGTGCTGGATCCCACATGGCCAACTAACTGCACAATTACAGTCCCAACCTAGCAGCTTGAAAAGCACGCCAGGCATGTGTGCTCAAAATCTAAAGAGAAGAATGGAGGAAAAGGACCTGTGGCATGGCCATCCCCCTGCCCCTCCCTGGGAGAGGGGTTGTGTGTGTGTGTGTGTGTGTGTGTGTGTGACTTCTTGTTTTCCCTCTCTCTGTCTTCAGGGCGTACATATGTCCTATATCAAGAAATGAAAATATCTAGGTATCTATATATCTATCTGCATTTATTTACTTATTTCCTGGGCTGGCTCCATGGCCTAGTAATTAAGGCAGTTGGATCCCACATGGGTGACCCTGTGGTTTGAGTCCCAGACCTAGTGGCTTGAGAAACACTCTAGGTGCATGCATGCGCATGCCCCAAATGCCAGCAGGATGGAGAAATGGAGAGGAGACTGCAGCATGACCATTCCCCATGGGGGTGGTGCTTGCTCCCTCTTCTGCTCTGTCTCTGGCAAGTGTGCATGAACTTTGGGAAAAGTTTTTTAAAAAGGAAAAACATATTTCCTAATTATTTTTTATGTTTAGCAGATTTTCTCAAATGTTAAAATCACTGCTACCAATAGAAATAATTAAAACAATACCATTTAACCTGCCTGACATGTAGCAAAGGGTCTTACGTTGTCTCTAAATTGTGGCTGACACAAATAGTGTATACTGTACTACGTGCCAAATGTAGTTTAGGAGCTTAACACACATGGCTTACGTAATCCTCGTCCCAACCCAGTGTGGTAGGTATTAGTATTACTTCCATCTTACAGATGAAGACACTTGAAAAGCAGAGAAATAAGTAACTTGCCCAAGATCTTCCAGTTACAAACTTAGACAGACTCTGGATTCAAAGAAAGACCCTCTGTAGAATTCTTTCAAATAAGTTGGTCTCAGAGTTCAATACACTCACAGAATCTAACATTTAGTGATATAATACAATGATTATAACCCTTCAATTTTTCACTGTACTATGAAACTAAAAAGAAAATGTTAAATGATAATAAATAATTAGCTCAGGTTTATCTCAGCTTCAGAGAGACTTCATGTAAGTGTCAGATAAGATGAGGAGGGGTTGAAGTGTGTTCTAGGGTGAAATCTCTCATAAAAAAATAATAACAAATAAAATTAAATAAAGAAATAATTTTTAAATGAATGATAATAACAAAGTTAATTTTTTAGAATTACTTTATTTAACCCTATTTATCATTATTATTATTTTTCAATTTGACAGAGAGAGACAGAGAGACAGAGAGAGAGAGGGAAGGTGAGAGAGCAAGCTCCTAAGTCTGGACTAGAATCACAGTTGGCCATGGCTACAGGGCGTGTGCGCTCACCAGAAAGACAGAGAGAGACAGGGAGACAGAAAGCAAGAAATCACCTCCCAGAGAGGATGGCTACGCAGCAATCCCTTCTCCTCCATTCTCCTCTCAGGATCTTGGGCACACACGCATACGTGCCTGGCGTGAGTTTAAGTCACTGGGTTTGGGACTCAAACCACAGTAGACTGCATGGGAGTCCAGCAACATAGCCATTACGCCATATGCTGGTTCCGAGAAGCACCCTGTCTTTAGACTCTCCCCACAGTTTCATGGACTTCTTCCCCAATAATCGCACAAGAACTTCCTACTTATTTTCTGACACTGCTATTGGCATCTCTTGATTTTATCTCCCAAGATTTTTTAGGACCCTTTCAGAAATATATTCCTGAATATCTTGGAGAAGGCTAAAGAAAATTTCTAGTCAAGGATAGGGATGCCTACAGGGAAAAAAAGAAGGAAAAAGAAAAGAAAAGAAAACTGGGCAGTTTATCAGGGCCTCAGGGATCATTTGGTCCAATTTCTTCTTTTCTTCTTCTCCTTCTCCTTCTTCTTTTTAAAGAATCATTATTTAATTTTTATTTATTATTATTTAACTTGACCAGAGAGAGAGGGAAAGTGAGAAGACAAGTCACCAGATCTGGGACTCGAACCTCTGTGGACTTTGTAGGAGTCCAGCCCCTTAACCACACCACCTGCCAGCCCTGCCCAATTTATTCTGATCATGCAGTCATTCATTCATATCTTTTGAGCAGCTGCTATGTGTTATGCAGCACTGGGAATAAAATAAAGAGTAAAAACTACAGTCTCAGGCCTCATAATAAGAAGGCACCCGGGGCTCAGAGAGGGACACTGCCTTTCCCAAAGTCACACAGCTAAAAATTACGTGGACAGCTGAGTCCTGAGCACAGTCCTTTCTGTAGAAACGTCTTCTTGACCTGTCCCAGTGACTGGAAGTTACAGGTCACAAGGAATTCAGGCGCCTTGGGGACTTGCCTGGCCAAGTCATTGTCCCGTAGCCCTGTTGCAAAACGCTACAAAGGAAAAGAGCCCCGCCAGGCCTGGAATGCATCAGGCCAGGCCAGGCCAGAGATAGTTCCAGGCCGGTCGCCCTTTCGCGAAAGACGTTTGTCCCTCGGCCGCCGCGGTAGCCGAGCCGGAAGTGCAGCCCGCCACGTTTATTAGCAGGGGGACTGGTAGGACCGAGGGAGTAGCGATGGTTGACAACGCAGCCCCCGAGGCTCCGCTGTGCTCCGAGCAGTTCGGCTCCGGGACAGCGCGGGGCTGCAGTGTCGCCAGCGACGGGAGCCTGCAGTGGGAGCCCTGGGGGTGGCGCTGGTGGCGATTCACCCGGCCCTTCGCGGTGAAACCCGAAGCGCGGGATGAGGGGGCAGCAGCGGCCCCTGCGGCCTCCTCGCCGGCCCTCTCCGGGCTCCAGGCCCTGTTCCTGCCGCCGGGCTT